GCACAAAGTAGTCCTGCTGTTACTTACAGTCACCTCATCCTGGCCAGTTCTGTGTCTCTTTATAGCTCTGTGACCTCAAGACACTATTTTAAGCTTTTTGCATACATTAAAAGCTAACATATCAGGGGCGCTGGGGGTAAGTCTCAGGCCAGTCATTGGAGGATACACACAGGAGAATGGGCAGAGCACCATGGAAGACCTGGTGACTGGATATGCCTTCTAGGTAGACTCTGTGGGTTTCTATTATTTCTTTTCCCAAAGTTTTGATTCTTATAGATCACCTACTATTTTCCTATTACCTGATTTGTGGAGTTGCCTCTGATTGTTAAGGCATTTGCTAGCCAGAGAGGGTTGACATCAGTTTTACCCAGTGAGTGAATAAGACTATCCAAGTACAGCTCCATCCCCTTCGCCTGCCCTCTGCCCCCTTCTCTTTGCCGACTGTGCCCTAGTATACCTCCCTTGGGAACTGAATTTCTAGACTTGGTCATTTATGGTATTGAAATAATCCAAACAGACTAACAGTGGTGGGAGGTTTCCACCATGAGAAGACAAGAGCCTGTCCTTCACACCAAAACCTAGCTGTTCTGCATTTTCTCGATGACTTAGAAAAAGACATGGAAGGGAAGCTGATTGGGCTTGTGGCCGGCCATGCTGAGGTGCTGGTGCTGGTAGCTGACAGATACAAGGCTCTGCATAATTGCCAGGCTGAGCCAAAACCAACAAGAAGACATGCTATGAAAACATCATAACATTATAGGAGGCGAAACAGGAAGAAAAAAGTCACCCACATGCCAGTTACCTATCATTCATCTGCTGGGTTTTTCTATGTTCTCTTTTCTCTCCTTTGTGTTTTTATGCATATATATGTACATTTACAGAGGCGTAACCATAGCGTATGTACAATTCTGTAGTCTGGTACATAGTGCGATTGCATTATTTTTTGCACATAGCTACATGTTGCTCCTTACTTTCCATTTTTCATCAGTAACTATGGAGGAAATTGCGTAGTGTTGACTTACCCCTTTCATGGTAACTGGGCAATTAGGTAATTTCCAGTATCTCTGATACAAGTAATAGTATTATGAATGTGTTTGCATAAAGAGCGTTTTGTTTCTTTTGATATTCCTAAGACAAATTCCTAAGTAACATTAATGCACCACAAACACTTTATGATTCTAAATAGAGTGCTACCACTATTTACAATAGCTAAGCTTTGGAAACAGCCCAAATGCCCAAAAATAGATGACTGGATCAAGAAGATGTGGTACATATATGCCATGGAATATTACTCAGCATTCAAAAAAGATAAACACATGCAATTTGCAGCAACATGGATGGCGCTGGAAGGGATCATGCTCAGCGAAATAAGCCAAAAAGAAAAAGAAAAATACCGGATGGTCTCACTCATAGCAGGAATCTAGAAAACTTAAATAAGGGACCAGGAAAAAGAATAACTATAAGAAAGAAAATATCAAAATCAACAAACAACTATGAACCAGAGACACTATATGGGGGGGGGGCGGGGAAAGGAGGGCTTGGGGTCAAAATAAGGGGGTTGTAATTGTATGGGGAATATAAAAATAAAATTTAAATAAATAAAATAAATAAATAAATAGATAGATAGATAGATAGAGTGCTACCAAATTGTCTCCAAGAACATCTTGTGTGCAACTCACCACAATCACTATCATTAACCTATTTATCACCCCTGAAAGTTTCCTTTTGGATTGATCGATGAATTGGTCAATTGAAGACGAATCCCCCACTGTCCACAAATAATTACTAATATACTTACATCACTACATAAGTGTCACTTTTATCACTAGCAGGCATTTTATAGAATTTAATATAAATGGAATAATACAGTGTATTTGCTTTTGTCTTACTGTTTTTTCACTCTATTTTGATATTCCACCATAGTGTAATATCTTCAGTTCCTTTTTTTCCTTTCGCTAAGCAGCAGTCCTTTTTATGGGTACACTGCAATTTGTTTATCCATTCACTTGTTGATGGACATTGGGTTGTTTCCATTTTGGCTTTTATGAACAAAACTGCTATGAATATTTATGTACCGATCTATGTGGGCACGTGCTTTCATTTCTCTTAGGACAGCAGTGTTTGGGTCAGTTGGTCAGGATGTGTTTAAATTTTTAAGAATTTGCCAAACTGTTTTCACACGAGCGCTGCATTCCTTTTTTTCCCCACTAACAGTAGAATAGGAGAATTCCATTTGTTTCACTTCCTTACCAACACTTTATCTGTTCTGTCTTTTTAATTTCACCTTTTGTGGTGAGCATACAGTGGTGTCTCCTTTTAGGTTTAATCACTGCTTACCTCTTGACTAATAATATATTTGTTATCTATTGTTATATAACAAATTACCCCAAATTAGTGGCTTAAATCAACAAACATTTATTATCTCACAATTTCTATGGGTCAAGAATCTGTAAGTAGCTTAGATGGGTGTGGCTAGCAGAATTAATTAAAGCTGCTTTGGAGTACTGCTAGATATGAGAAAATTGGAAAGGAGAAGAAATAAAAGAGCAAAGGTTAGCAGTGAAGACATAAGGAAAATCAAATTAAGGGACTAGAATTACTTTTTTTTACAATTTATCTCATCATTTTTATTTTTTAAGATGCCATCTTAAATTCTTAGAAAGAATTATTGTTCAGAACAAAGTAGTGGTTCTTAAACTATTTATCAGGGTACAGTTCTGCTGGTTGGAGGAGTTTGAATTTTCTTGGTGACTCTGGGAAACTGAACATTTGTTGCGTTGCTCTCTAGTGGACAGGAGCAGTGGCGATCCTTTCATCTCTCCCGTCTCTAGTTGTCATAAGCTGGCTTCTCCTTGGACTGAGACCTGCTTCTCCCACCCCCAAGTCTGCCAGGCTTGAGTGGCATCTGTGAGAGCGGCCTAGATCCCATAAAGGGACAACATAGGTCTTTGCTCCTGGCCACCCCCATGAGTGCGTTCCATAGTGGAAGAGTCTCCGGGAGCCGGCTGGAGCTGTCCTGTTGTCAGCACACCTGGTCCAGACCCCCAGACACCATAAGCCGTGGATGTTACTTTAAGTTTTATCTCCAAGTAGGAATAGATGTGGATAGGCCACTGTCCTCTCCAGCTATAGAGTTGAGGGGGGAGATGTCGCTGGCTAGGTTAGTCGTAGCTCTTACCCCATGGAAGAGAAGATGGTAAAGTGTGTTCCAGTCCATAGGAGAAACACATGAAACTTGTGGAATTGATGGAGATAGAGGTAACTTCAATTCCGTTAATAATGATCTCAGAATATGCATATGTCCAGGCTCCCCACAATGTATGTATAAAATATGTGTAGTTTTTTGTATGTTTATTATGTCCCAGTAGAGCTGTTAAGAAAAAAAAAAAAAAGACCAATTTGGCAGGTATTCATCAATCAGCAGGCATGGTCTGGAAGAGGGGGCCCAATCAGAATGGAAGCCTGCTAGGACAGCACCCCTACTTCTACCCTCTTAGACTTTGATCCTTTAGTTGCATAACCTTGGGGCATCCCAGGAAGTTCCAGAGGAAGGTCAGCGACAACTAGGACAGCCAGGGGTGGCGCTGCGGTGGCTGTCTATCTAGGGCCTCGGTGGCATTTGTGTCTCTTGCTGCTCTGCAAGCTGACTCTGTGGCCACAGGCCTACCTGGTATCAGTACGCTGCACACTCTTTCCCACATTTGACTTTAAAATGCTCTATCCTGCCAGGTGGTTTTCCACCCAGGTGGTAAACTTGTCACCCTCCAAATCTGGTTTTGGTCGAATGAGCTCATTTCCTCCTCGCTGCCTATGTACAAGACAGCTGTGTAAAAGGAAAGAAGGCTGAACTGGCGGGCAGGAGATGGGTCCTGGGATCACAGCTCAGCTCTGCTGCTTTCCCCTTACATGCCCCTGTGGCCTCAGGTGTGTGGTCTATAAGTGGGGTGGTGACATTTGTCTGTCTGTTCCCCTCACAGGGCTGTGTGATGGGAGGGGAAGTGCTTTGCAAACTGTAAAGCACTGTGCACACATGAGCAAGTCACTGTTCCAGAGACTGAAGGATCTGGCTGTTGAGAATGTTGCTTGTCTGATTCTGACTGAATCGGGGTGGCAGATCTGCCATTTACTGAGAATGTTTCTTGACTATGCTCAAATATAATCATAATATAGTTTCAGCTTTGTATGGGGAGAGTTGGTAGGCTGCCAAAATGTGATTTTTTGTTAACCCTACAAAACCATAGCTGACTTAGGCTTTGCAGAGTACCTAATTCAGCCCTCTGACTTTATAATGGGGTCATTGAGGTCCAGGGAGAGCCAGTGAGTGGCCCAAAACCCCCAAGCAAGTTAGCGGCACAGGCAGCCCAGGTCTTCTGATGGCCGTCTCTCTTCTTCATGATATGTGAAGTGTCTTGGGGTAAACCATTCATTCCTGCTTCATTCATTCACTAGCTTAAATACTGGGCACTGTGCTAACCATTTTGGAAGTAGACAAGTCAGTTGCGATTCTGCTCTCAAGTTGCTCATGACCCTGGGCAAGTAACGCTTTTTCAGAATCCAGAGAGGGAGCAGATAGTGTTTTCCCTGTAGGACCCTGGCAACCTCTTTTGGGGGTTTTTATTTATTTATTTTTTAAGATTGATTTATTTATGCTCACAAGAACTGCGTTGTAGGCCAGAGGTGTGGGGTGGCCTCCTGTGAAGGTGAAACCAGGGTTTGGGGATGGAGCCCCGAGCTAGTGTCTGCATGCAGTTGATACTCGATGGTGTTCCTTTGCCACTCCTACTGGATCCTAATGAGGATGGCTTGGTCAGTAACACTAGCAGCCAAATACTTTTGGCCCCCTGGACCTGAGTCCTGGGCTTCTACCAGAAAGGCCTGGAAGGTTTTCCTTAGTTGAATAATAACAAGCTTGGTGGCAAAGGTGAAGTTGGCTGAAGGCTGAGGTCTGAGGACTGGGGCCCTGGCCCCCAAAGCATACTCTCCTTTCTTCTCTCTCTTAGGTGGGGCCCAGAGCTCCCTGCCATGCCTGAGTGCACGGGGTGTCAGTTCTGCCCTGCTCCTCTGCTGCATTCCAGCTTCATATGTCAGCACCTCATGAAAATCTCCCAGGTTCCAGCTTTGAATAGCCCCTTAGCTGCCTGGGAGTGAAGAGGCTGGCTCTGTTTTGCCTGTCAAATCATCTGCTTTGTCTGTCCATCGGCAGGTAAGCCTGGTGTCCTTACATAATACAGATTGGGCCATCACTGTCAGGGTTGATTCTGGTTGACTCAGGGTGAACAAACAGCCATTCAGACCCACCGGCCGAGGCCCAGGCCACGCAAGAGCAGGGGCTGCTATTCTTCTGGAGCAATTTGATGACAGGCTGAGCAGATGCCTCACACTCCAGTGAGGAAGGAGCTGAGCTCGGACTTGCCTCTCCCAGCCACAGCAAATCCTCCTTTCTTGAGTCAGACCTTCCAAAGGACCCCTGATTTAACTCCTGCATATGCTGGGCAGGTGATACAGGAAGTGGGCAAAGCAAAACAAGAGGGAGCTCCTGAAATACAAAGCCCTGAATATATATGGAGAACCTGCCAGATTTCTTCTTTTGCTTTAACTGGTAGGAGACATGGAACAAATTTAGTACTGGAGGCAATAATTAACTCAGCCCAATTGCCCAGTAACATCCTCTGCTCCTTTTAATTGGTTCTCATCTGAGTCTCTAATCACTCTTTAACACATTTTTTTTTTGTTGTTGTTGTGGTAACATAAATATAACAAAATATACCACTAGTGATATTTAATTTGTTCACAATGTGGTACAAACATTATTGCAATCTAGTTTCAGAACATCTCCATCACCCTGAAAGGAAACCACTTTCCATTTAGTAGTCAGTCCTCATTCGTTAACTTTTAAGATACCACAGATATCCTTGTGAAGGGAGTAGGGGTTGTGGATGCTGAGTGAGAAATAATCAATAATAGACAACTCAAATTTCATTCACTGGTGGGACACATTCATTTATTTTTATTTTTCTACGTTCACTTTTTATTCTCTTTGTTCAACCAGAGACTGAGTTATAACTCATTCCTGAGTGGCCATGTCATTTCAAATTCTCTCCTTTCTTCTCTCCTTCCACTCCCCCTTCCCTTGCTTGATACCTTTGGATCTATTGTCTGCATACTTGCCAATCATTTTTCTGTCTGCCTGCCTGCCTGCCTGCCTGCCTGCCTGCCTACCTACCTACCTACCTATCTACCTTCCTACCTGTCATCTATCTTCATCTTCGTACTCTCCATCCATCTATCTGTAAATCTAGATAGAGCACTGGTTCTCAGCTCTGCATATTACAATCATTTAGAGAAGTTCTAAAAATTTACTGATATTGGGGTGCATCTCAGGTCACTTGGAAGGGAAACTCTTGGTATGGGACCTGGGCAGCTGCACTCTTTCAGTGTTTTCCCAGGTGATTCTAATGCATAGTGAGGTTAAGAGCCAGTCACCTAAATTAACCTCATATATGCTTCACCTTTGCAAAAACTTCTTATCCTAGTTCTGTTCCTTAGTTGCTCTATTTTGTAGATAAATGACCATTTGTTACACATAGTGCTATATAAGCTATCTGAACAATATATATAAAACTTTTTATGTACTTAAATATTTTTCAACAACAGATTTTAAAGGCTGACTATATTCACACACACACAAACATTGATTTTATCAGCCCCCTGTAGAGGCAGGAATGGACACTGAGCAGGTTTTCTAGGATACAGCAGACCGGGTAAAGGAGGAGTCAGAGTCCTCAGTGGTTTTTTGCAGGTCTTTTATTGGGATTACCAGGTACATGGCAGGCAGGGGTGCTGAGGGGCCAGGAGGCTGGCAGTCCTCCCAGCCCCCAGCAAATCCTCACTCTCTCTGTGCTCTCTGGCCTTCTCTGCTTCTCTCGGCTTCTGCTGCTGCTTTCTTGGCTTCTCTTTCGGCTTCTGCTGCGGCTGGCGTCCCCATGACGCTGCCCTTAAAAAGCACAGTCTCAGCCCAGGTGAATCCCATCTACCTATGCCCACACCCTGCTCCAGGTGCCCGCCATCAGGCATGCATTCAGGACAAGGATCCATCATCTATCCTGATGGTGGGAGGGCAGAAAAGCCTGACATTTTTCCTTACCCTACACCCCTTATTGGGATTTTGGTTAAAATTGTATTGAATCTATAAGTGAATAAAGGAAATTTTATGTATATTTAATACATTTATGTTCCCTGTTTCTTTTTTAATTGAAATAACAGTATATAAATTTCAGGTGTGCATCATTCAAAATCAATAGCTGTATTACCTACATTAAGTTCACCACTAAGACTCCAATTCTATCCTTCACCATGCAATGGACCCCTTTACCCAGTTTACCAATCCTCTTTTCTCCTTTCTTTTTGATTCTTATAGTTTATAGGTTTATTTTTGTTTTATCTAGTTCATTTGTTTGTTTTCTCTATATACTACATAAATGAAATCATACAGTGTTTCTCTCTTTTTGACTTATTTCACTAAGCATAATCCTCTCTAGACTCACTCATGTTGTTGCAAATGGCAGAATTTCCCCTTTTTAACAGCTGGGTAGTATTCCATTGTGTATATACACAACAGCTTCTTTATCCAATCATCCATTGATGGGCACTTAGATTGTTTCCAGCTCTTGGCTATTTTAAATAATGCTGTAATAAATGGGGGGGGGTGCATCTATCCCTTCAAATTAGTGTTTTTTTTTTTTTTTATTTGGGGAGTAAATACCAAGAAATGGGCTAACCGAATCATACATAATTTCTACTTTTACATTTTTGAGGAATCTCCATTCTGCATTCCACAATTGTTGCACCAGTTTATATTTCCATCAACAGTGTTCAAGAACTCCCTTCTCTCCACATCTTCGCCAACACTTGTTTCTTTTCTTCTGGATAATAGCCATTCTTATAGGTGTGAGTTAATATTTTATTATTAGTTTGATTTGCATTTCCCTAATAATAAGAGATGCTGAACATCTTCTTATATGCCTATTGGTCATTTGTCTTCTTTGAAGAAGTGTCTATTTAAATCCTTTATGCATTTTTTAATCAGGTTGTTTTGTTGTTGTTGAGTTTTAAGAGCTCTTTATATATTTTAGATATTACCACCATGTTGGACATACATCTTCTCCCATTCAGTAGGGTGCCTTTTTATTTGGATGCAGGTTTCTTTCGCTGTGCAGATATAGTCACTTTTTTTTTTTTTTGCTTTTGTTTTCCTTACTGTTGGAAGTTGAGTCCCCAAAGATGTCCAATGTCTGATTTCATTGAGCTTATTGCTTATGTTTTTTCTATATATTTTATGATTTTAGGTCTCCCATTCAAGTCTTTAGTCTGTTTTGAATTACTTTTTATATATGGTGTTAAATAGTATTTATTTCATCTTTTGTATGTGACTTTCCTGTTTGCCCTACATCCTTTATTGGAGAGACTTTATGCTCTTTGGTTTATTTGTTGTAAACTTGTTGTCCATATAGGTATGATTTTATTTGTACACTCAAGTTTTATTTGTAGGCTAGAGATGTGGGGGGTGAGAGGATTCACTAGAGACAGAGTGGGGAGTGGAACAGGCAGATCTACTATAATACCTACTGAGGGGAGCAGCGGGCGAGACAGGAGAGGTCTGCTGCACCATGTGGGTTAGCTCCCTAGCCGGGATCAAACTCAGACTTTAGCTGTGGGCCTTCATGGTGGTAGTGCTGAGACTTAATTCGTAGGCCACCAGAGAGGCCCTTGATTCTAGTTTCTTAAGGAACACCAATAAAATGTTGACATGCTTATTTTTCCTCTATCATTTTCTGTTTGTTAGTTTTGTCTCTTTTTTCCTTTGTGGTGCATTCTGAGAAATCAGATTCAGTTTTCTGCAGCATTAGAAAGCATTTTTTTTATGGCTCTGATAATCCATCATTCCCCTATTGCTAGACATTGTTAGTGTCCTGCCTGTATCACCTTGGTTCTTAGCTCTGCATACTGGAGGCTGCTTGCTATGAACACTTATGACTCTCCTCTTAGCCTGCACATGCAGCGAATGAAAATTCCAGAAAGTTAATATTCCCACATCAAACAATGGCTGATGAGGAATTGCTGGGTAAATGCACAGCCTCCTCACTTGCCACCCACTGGGTGGGATAGCTCTGAGATAAGGTCTACACTGTTGCCCAGAGTTCTCCAGTGAGATTGAGCCCCAGTTGCTTGTGGAAGAAATTTGCTCAATAACTCACCCTTTATACAGTCACTTTCTCTTCCTGACTCAAATCCTTCCTCCCTTACTGGTGATTCCTGGGATCACTTTTAAATTAAAGTACGTACCTGAAGGGTGTAATCCTATACTCTAAATCATATACAGTGTTGTAAACCAGTATTACCTCAATGAAAAAAAATTAAGTAAGATAATAAAAGCATAAAAATAAAACAGGGATGGATTATAAAATAAATATTATTTTAAAATATGGGGAAAATCAAATCAAATAAACTATGTACACTTACAGCCTTCCTCAGAGGGAAGGAAACCTGTCCTAAAATAGACATTTAAGTTGTTTCTAATTCTTGTTAGTATAAACAATATAATGATGCATGCATTTGTTGAATAGCTTTGTACACGAGTCTTTGCATCTTTCACTGTTTTTCTAGAATAGAGTCTCAGAGTGGAATTATTAGGTTCCAAGGCGTACATATTTCAATCTGTAGTAGATATTGCCAAATTACAGGTATGTTTTTAAGACAGAGTTGGAGAGCAACCAGCTCACAGCTGAACTGTCTGAGACCAGAGTGTTGACGACTGCTTCATGCTCCCTGCTTGCCCATCTCTTATAATCTTAAAGGATACGGGGAGGTAGCCTTCTTTTTTTTTTTTTTGCATAGAAAACTGGGGTGTAGGCCAGAGGTGCAGGGAGTGAGAGGATTCACCAGAGACAGAATGGGGAGCAGAACAGGCAGATCTACTGAAATTCACTGCTGAGGGGAGCAGCGGGCGAGACAGCAGAGGTCTGCTGCGCCATGTGGGTTGTCTCCCTGGCTGGGTTTTGAACTCAAGCTATTGTATTTTTTGGAGATTTTTTGAATGTTGTCTGTGTTTAATTCTGTTCAGTTAGCCTCACCTACCAATCTTCTTCAAACACACTGATCCTTATTTTGAATTTGTAAACTCTTAGACTCTATGCCATCCTGCCATAGACACTAACCTTAACCACAGCCCTGCTCATGCTCATACTATTTATTTTATTTATGCAATTTATCCAAGGTCCTTTGAATGATCCTCAACTTGATAAAGACTTTTCGCCGGCATCAGATATGAACAGACCTGTTTGATGTACTGGAAAGCATGTTGAGCCAGGACCTTGGGTTCAAGGTTTGCAATCTTGGATTCATCTCCTTTCCTCTCAGCCTCACTTAAAGCTGATGAAAATAAGGCTTAGAGAGAGGTAGTGACTTGCCAAGATCAAACAAAAGGTTAATCTAGAGCTGGGTTCAGAATCTAGTCCCTTTGAGACCCTAGGTCTAAAACAAGACAAGGCAAACAAACAAATAAAAAACCTTCTGGGTGGCCGTGATGAATCATTCCTGCTTCATTTCCTCCCACTTTTTCTAGCTCAAGCAGATGCTTAATCTTCTACAGAGTTACATCGAGGTTCTTCCTATCTCTGAGCTCCTCCTGCAAGATACAGCCCCTCCCCGCCCCACCTTTTATTCAAGCCTCTCTTTGGCTTTTCTCTTCCTGTCCTGATCTGTTCTCACTTCTCTCCCCCACCCTTTACTGGGTGACGGCTCATGTACCACCTCTTCAGGGAAGCTATTCCCTTCCTGTAATTGGTGAGTGATTTGCTTCCAGGAATGGGTCTCAGTGGCCACTGAATCACTAGCATTTACTGCAGGTGTCAGGTAAATGTCCGCTAGGGAGATACTTAAATGAACAAAAACGAATGGAGGAGATTTGTTGATTGCTTCAATGAGGATTTGTTTGAAGATCAGCAGCCAAATGATTTAAAAACCCATCCCCACAGAGCACTAGGGAAATTAAACAAGAATGACAGACAAAATGACTTCTAAAAATATTGGAGCCTCAGGATCTTAGTTTTCACACCTGGCTTGGCCGGTTTTGTTTATTCAGTATTTTCTTATTTCCATGTAAATCACATTCCCTGATATTCTGACTTTGACCCTATGTCTTCTTGTATTTTGGTTAAAAATACAGTATATTTAGTGAGTGCCTGGATTCCACATCCCGCTATTACTTACTAGAGCTGCCTGAGTAGAGTGTGTGCTAAGTGCCTGCCATCTGATATGTAGTTAAATCCTCCCTGGTCAGTGGGATTATGCACCTTTTGTAGGTGAGGAAACAAGTTCAGAGAGGTTAACTAATTCATGGTTGCCTAGGAAATGAGCAGTGGAACAGGGATTTGAACCCACATGAGATCCTTCACATTCCAATACTTGTCTCCCTAATTTACCACATGATTCCACATCCATCCTCTCAAAGGCTTTTTGAAGCTGTTCACTGAGGGAAAAGAGTAGGGATCCCTAATCACATAAGTTAATGGCAAATGTGGGACTTCAGCCCAGCCTTGCACATCCCTCGCTTAGCCCTTGCCAGGGGTGTGGCTGTGGACAGTTTTCTTTCTCTCTCCAAGTCTCAGGGTCTTCACCCGCGACACGGGGACAGGCGCTTTTCCCCCCACAACACCACATACGTGTTGTCTCTTCTAACTTCACTTCTCCAGTTCTCTAACACCAAACAGGTGTCATTCAATTATCAATTCAATTCAATTGACGCTATTTGGAGTTAGCATTATTCTCCACAGGCTAAGGACTCATTCCCACAAGAATGTCCTCACTTCAGCTATCAGTTGCAAGTACTAGCTTCCCAGATTACCCACCCTTCTGCCTGACTTGACTTCAAGTCAGGGGTTCTGTACAACCTGGTGATCCCACTCTTGGTCATATACCAATGAATATGAAGCCATCAATGAAAACCCTCACATGTTCCAAACAATTTATAGCAGCATTATTTATAATAGCTAGGATATGGAAGCAGTCTGAATCTCCTTCAGTGGATGATTAGCTCAAGAAGATGTGGTATGTCCACATTATATATGGTTGATGAAATCACCTGGCCATTGATGATTGAACTCAATTCTCTGAGGGGATGGGTTTTTAAAGACCAAGACATGATTAAAAGATTGGAACTTTCAGTCCTACCCTTCCATCCGTGAAGGACAGGGTTGTTAGGGGATACAGGCTGGAGGGTGGAGCAAAGAGGGAATAAATAAGCTAATTCTGGAGGAGCAAGAAGGTGAAGACCAGCCTTGTTCATTATGGAAAAAGCACCTTGAGGTTGGGTGCATGAGCGAATTATCTCTGTATCTTTAGTAGTCTCGCAACTTTCTCAGTATAACTGGTACTGTGAATCTATTTCAATGTGGCGGTACAACTGTGTCCAACTAATCTGCCTTTTTCTCTAGGCAGAGCCCCTGCAGTGGACCCCTGCCACAGTATTCACAGGAAGGTGGAACTGGTAGGAGGGTAATTGGTGTATTGCAGACCTTCTGTGAACTAAGTGTAGAGATACCTACCTATGTGTGTTGGTATGCATGCATGCATTTAAGTGTATATTGTTGCTTTCTTGAAATATAATTCACATTCCATACATTTCACCATTTTTTTTTTTAAAGATTTATTTATTTATTTATACAAGCACTGGGTACAGTCAGAAGCACGGGAGGGTGAGAGAATTCACCAGAGCCAGAGCAGGGAACAGAGCAGACAGACTGATGAAATACACTGCTGAGGGGAGCAGCGGGGCGGCAGGAGAGGTCTGTTGTGCCATGTGGGACCCTCGCCGGCAACCATGGATCGAACTGGCACTGCAGAGGCTGCAGGCAGCTTCACAGCCCAGCGCTCAACCACTGCGCCACCAGGGGAGGCCCACTTCACCAATTTAAGGTGTATAATTCAATGGTTTTCAGTATATTCACAAAGTTGTGCAACCATTCTTTTTTTTTATTTAAATAATAAATTTTATTTTTATATTCCCCCATACAATTGCAAACGCCCCATTCTGACCCCAATCCCTCCCCTCCCGCCCCCCACCCCCCAAAAAGTGTCTCTGGTTCATAGTTTTTTGTTGATTTTGATTTTCACTTTCTTATATTCATTTTCCTGGTCCCTTATTTAAGTTTTCTAGATTCCTGCTATGAGTGAGACCATCCGGTATTTTTCTTTTTCTTTTTGGCTTATTTCGCTGAGCATGATCCCTTCCAACGCCATCCATGTTGTGCAACCATTCTTGCAGTCATTTCTAGAACATTTTTAATCACTCACCTCATATTTCATACCTACTGATAGTTTCTCCCCATTACTCCTGAAAATCATCCTCTTCCTCCACGCCCCACATCCCCCAACCTTAGACAACCAGAAATATGCACTCTGCTGTTAAAGATTTCATATAAATAGAATCATATAAAAGTCAGAAGAAGAAAGATAAATTGTCAGTAGTGTCACTTATATATGGAAAATAGACAAACAGACCAATAATAAATCCTTATCATCTGACTGCAAAACTGAGGCAAAAGGGAGAGTGGTGGCATGGAAGTTGAGGAGGGAATGGGATGTATTAATGCTTAGTGTGTACACAGTTGCTGTTTGGGGTGATGCAAATATTTTGGGACTAGATAGTGGTGATGGTTATACAGCATCATAAGTGTAATTGATGTTGGTGAATTGTACACTGAAACATGGATAAAATGGCAAATTTTGTGTTAGACATATATATTTTACCACATTAGAAAAAAGCAAGAAAAAAGAGGACATCTTTGTCCTCTTCCCCATCATGGGTATAGCACAGAGTGTACAGTAATAGAAAATCCGGAGATGTTTGAATTCAGTTAGACCAGAGGCTGGGACTCCAGGAGCCTGTGCAGAAAATGCTGAATGCTTGTTTCCTAGAGAAATAATTCTATGTTGTTTATATGGTAGCCGACCTTCTTCTTAGAGCATCAATTAATCTGGTGCCAAGGCAAAGGAGAAAAAGTTTCTTATCTTTCTGAGACAGGGGTGAGTGACCCTTGCCAATTCAGCGTGAATATCACCTTCCACGGAGCTGTTTTTTCTTTCAAGGAGCTCTAATTGTATTTGGAGAGTTCTTCTCTAACCAGTTCAGGCAATTCAGTGTTGAAGAAGAAGAGTTTATTACAGAGCTATGAGTCATCAAAGCTTTCAGAGCCAAGGTAAGGGGGAATAAGGGTAAATTTGAAATGAGTGGACGGGACACTGCAGAAGGCCTCTGAAGAGGAGGGCATGAGAGTTCAACTGCTGTCCAATTATGGGGTTAAAAACAAATTGCTATTTTTACATCATTAGCAGTGGGCACGGGGATCAGTACCTGGCACACAGCAATTTGAGGGTTGATTGGACTTTGTTGATTAGCTGCCTTTTTTGCAAGGGCCTCTGATTTCCATGTAAGATTGGCCAGCCCCTTGCTGAGCACCTACTACTGGGGCTCTGGCAGGATGCCAAGGATATCAAATGAAATGAGGTAAGGAATGAAGTGCTGGCACTTGCTGCAACATAGATGAACCTCCAAAAATTTATGGTCAGTGAAAGAAGCTAGTCACAGAAGACCTCATATTATAGCATTCCAGTTAAATGAAATGCTCAGAAAAATCAATTCTATAGAAACAGAAGGCAGAGTAGAGGTTGTCTGGGGTTTGGGGGTGAGAATGGGGAGGATGGGCATGAAGAATCTTAGTCTCTGATGGAAATGTTCCAAAACTGCACTCTGGTAGTGGTTTCATAGCTTTGTAAATCTATTAATAGATGTTATTCAATCGTACCCTTAAAATAGGTGAATTTTATGGCGTATATATGTGTGTGTGTATATATATATAGATATATATATATATATCTATATATAGATATCTGGAATGTGGACCTTTCTCAGAAAGAGGAGTTTGCAGGACACACACTTGACCTTGAAGTGGAGCCAGCATGTATGAGACACAGGAGCTAGGCATTTGGGAGGTGGGGGGAGGGGAAACACATACTGAACATTCTGTACCCTCCTCAAAGCAAAGGGCTCGCGTCTGGTCTAGTCAGGGACAACCAGGATCCTGCCAGCGTTTGCTCTGGTTAGCTATACTATCCTAGTGTTCTTTGATAGGCAGCCATGGGTGGGACTATTAGCCCACTGTACCCAATCTTAGAACACTGAGGTCTGGAGGGAGAATAGACAGAAACTGGACAGATTTAAACCCAGGTTTCTAGCACCCCATGTTCCTGCTCTTTTGGGTGTCTCCGGGCTCTGCTAAAGCAGGTTCTTGAAGATGAAGCTGGGAGGGCCTGGGGCTGACTCAGAGGCATGTCTTTCTCTTCTTGAATGGTAGAAATCTGAACTTGAGGCCCAGCTCTGAGACTGGAGGGAGGGGGTAATCAGGTTTCCTCTCCTGGGG